CAACCAAAATGCCAAATCAACTGCTATGGAGGCAAAAAACAAGCCTGAGTTTTCAAGCGAAAACCTAGAAGATTACAGTCCTTGGTGCAGGAGAAAGGCAAACAAACTGTACTTTTCCTCAGCATACAAGTGTGTATTTCAAAAGGCAATTTGATAAAACCTTTTACTAATGTGCCTTCCTAATAGTGAGAATGAACTATTTTACCTTTTAGGAAGAGGAGAGAGGAAAGAAGAAGAAAAGGAAGAAGAAAAATAATGAATTATAGTTAAAAAAAAGTCCCTACAGATCAAAATCAGTAGCCTCGTGAAAATCATCATAAAACTATAATTACACTTATTCCAGTGAATTAAACAGCATTAGCTGAAGAAATATGGTTGGTGAGTATTTCTTTAGGAACTTAAAAAGAAAGAATTGTCCTAAAACACCAAATAGAAATGTTGTTATGAGACAACCAAGGCTTTGATCCCACGGGCATTATAAAGAATGCAGGGCTGTCTTACTTGCTTCCATACTAAGTACTGTTTTAATTGCAAGGATCTTCTCTCCCATTTCCCACTCACTCTCAGTCAGGAGGTCTTGAAAAGGGGTAATTTCCCCAATGGGGAGTGGAACTGGGAACTGCAGCACATTGAAGCCTGTGCACCTAGAGTGGAGCAGACCCACCTGGGAAAGGGAGATTCTGCCAGCACCCAAGTGGGAGTCTGAGGCTAAGTGTTCTCACAGAAGATTTGAGGAAACCGCTTTCTTCTCATAGAAAACACCTCGACTCTTTGATAAAAAGACTGATTGGGCCCTCCCTGGTGGCGCAGAGGGTTAAAGCACAGCACTAAGAAGCTAAAGCCACTTCTGCATGAGTTCGATTCCCGCCACCCCGGAGGTGACCACATGGCGTGGCAGACCTCTCCTGACCCGCCCGCTGCTCCCCTCAGCAGTGTACTTCGTCGATCTGCCTGTTCTGCTCCCCACTCTGTCCCTGGTGAATCCCCTCACCCTCCGCATCTCTGGCCTATACCCCAGTTCTGTATGAATAAATAAATAAATCTTAAAAAAAAAAAAAAAGACTGATTGACAGAATAGTGTCATGATTTTAGTAAGGAATGGGGGACATGATCTCTACAAAACAAAAACAGGTTATGAAAGAATAATAAGTTAATACAGGAAAATAAAAACCAGGGAAGGAGAGCATTTCTAATGTGAACGTGGAAGGGTGGGCATCTAGATTCACACGGACATGTGGACTGACAAGTAAGCCTTCTTGCCTGTTCCTGAACCTCCCGCCCACACATTTGACATCATTAAAAATTCACGTTAAAGTTCATGGAAAGGCAGTAACCATGGTAAAACTATTTGCTGTAAATGAATCCAGAGTTTCCCACTGTGGATAATGCATGTAAGTTTTCTAGCTACACCTGGAGCTGAAGCTGGAAGCCTTGCGGAATGATTGGAGACATGCCCATGGGGCTGACAGACACCCTGCACGAACCACCAAGATGACACTTATTTCTGGGACACTGGGATCCATCACAGCACAGTTCTTGAATTGTTTGGTCTGAGTCAAACTCTAGGCCTCACTTACATCAAGTAAGCTGGAAGGAAGCTCAAAGTCATCCTTAGTAATGTTAAGTTACATGCAGGATTGAGACATGTTCTCGATTTAGTGCATCCCACAGTTCTAGAGGGTACTATTAAACACCAACACTCTCTTGACCATATATGAGGAACTAATTCTAAGCTTTTAACTCTACGGACTGTTTTTGTATTTCTGATAAGTAGCTACACATTTGAGATTGTTAAAAATTCACAAAATGTTCATGGAAAGGCAGTGAATACTTGATTTGATAAAGCAACTGAAACATCAGAAATGTGTAAGTTGTTAAAATATTAAGACACCTCCACATTGGCAGGACAGCCTTTCCCACCACCATAGGCAGCCTCCTGTGGGACTTCTCTGAGAGCCAGCTGTGAAGAGTAACTCCTGGGGTAGCTGCGAGGCGCTAAGATGCTGCTCCAGCATTTAAGACGTCAGTGTTTATTTTAATCGTACTGCTCAAGATGGCTGCCAAATCAATTGTTAAATATTTTGAGTATCATCTCATAGACCTAACCCAAGAAGATTAGATTTGTTCTAATCTGACAAGTTAGATTAGAGAACAAATAGAGCAGAAATCATAATAAAAAAACAACCAAAGGGATCTTTTTCTATTTAAGGAAGATCTGGTTCTAAAAGTAAATCAATAAAGCTAATGAAATTTTGAGCAAAAAATGAACGATTGAGTTTAATAGCCAGGCTTATTGTCAGAAAATAAAAGATTGGACTGAATTGGCTGCCCTAACCCTACATATGTGAAAAAGATACTTGGTCTACTTTTCAGTTACTATTTTTCTTCAAGGAAAATCTTCAAGCTGTTTGAGTTAGCTGTTGCTGTGGTGCTACCCAAAACTGCACTTCAGAACCAAGGCTTTCATTTTCCTTGACTAATGTCTCAGAGTTGCCTTCCTCTAAGCCAAAGCTCTAAGCCAAAGGAAGCGTCCTTGCCCAAGGACATGGTCCACTCACAAACAACACCCAAAACTGATCGCTATAGAGATCACAGGCCTGAATTCTCTTGTCTGAATTTGGGAATCTCCAAAGACCACCTGGAGTTCCAGCTGATATTAGTGGAGGCCTCTGTCTTGTGTGCACATTTCAATTCTCATTCTACCCAGTGCCATCTCACTAGAATTGTTTCCAGAAGTACTTACCAATAAACATCCCCCACATAACACTCTCACAGTGTCTGCTCCCAGAGGCCTCAAACTAAAAGGAACCTGGTCACTGTTTCACTTGAGAACTGAGAGGCAGGAGAACACATTCACTCACTGACTGTGAGTGAGACAATTCCCAATACTGACAAGGCAAGGAGCTTCAGTTACATTTTGTTTGGGGCTGAAGGTCATGCTGTACAAATAAAGACAGCCGACATTAGGAAATGGTGAAATCAGAAAGTGACGTCCAGATCTGTTCATGAAAAATGAATCTGGAAAAAAAAGTTCAAAAGATAAAGTAAATCTAAAACTAAGAAAAAAATTGGATGAAATCTGACAGCCCTCATGTGAGTTTACTCAGATAAAATTTTATAAAACAATTTATACAAAATATTTCAAGAATTTGAAAAGATTGTCAAACTCACTTTGGTAGGCTAAAACTGGATGAGATATTAATAGGAAAATCTCATTTAGGAACATATGTGCAAAAATTCTCAAAGCAACTCTTATTATGAAGCACCCTTTCACTAATAAAAAATAACACGTAAGTAATATGTGCTTACTTAACTATATAGGCTTTATAAGTAAGAAAAATGATAAAAATAAATGACTTGGAAAAACCACAAGATTAAGAGTTATATATAAAACCTAGCAATGTTTTTTTGGGAAAGAATAATGAAACAAAAACTCATACAATTTGAATACAAAAATAGGACAAAAATACACAAAGTTTGAGGAGACATAAAACTATCAAAGAGAGAGCAAATACTATGTTGTAGCATATGTTAATAAACCTTAACTTTCCATTAACTGATTTTCAGAAAAAAAATTACCAAAGTCAGGTCAGCAATTAAAATGAAAAATTAAACACCAAAAAACTAGGAAGAAAGTAAAAATGTCCTCAAGTTATTATTCCCTCAAAAGTTCAGTCTGAAAGACTTTTATAGGCTCTATCTGAATTTTCAATGACCAGATAATCCATGCAGTGGATAATGATACCAAAAAAACAACAACTGTTATATCGAGCAGCTAATACTTAGGCAACATAATACAGAAACTATTTCTAAGTTAACTTTACACAAACAGGTTAAAACCTTTGTCCAGAGCCAACCACATACCCAGTGGTTGAAATGAGACTAGAATCAAGGCTATGCCCTGACCCCTCCACTGTTACAACTCATGAATAAAGGCTGAAGCCTTTCACTAAAAAAAATCAAATACAGGCTTGATGTCTAAACTTCCATAAACTGGTCTTCTTCCTTTTAAATGGCATGATGCATTTTAAAACATCAAATAGTTGCACAGCACTTACTATATGCCAGGCACAAGTTTGAAGCAAGCTATTGTACTTAGTCCCCATGACAACACTATGCAAAAGTTACCATCATTCCTCTGCTGATTAGTAAACCAGCACTAAGAGGTGCTGCAAAACGCCCAAGATGGCAAGACAGCTGACAGCAGAGCAGGGCTTCAAACCCTGCACTGTTTGTATAGGGTGCTACACTAAACACCATAAAACATGCTGATTATAGTAGTGAATGTAACTTTGCATTCAGCATAAACTATTACTTTACAAAAGCCCAAACAACAGTTATAGAATACTCATTCTGGGCAAACAGTTTTTAGGTGTTACTCTCAAATCTTGTTTAATAATCTAAGCTACGCACATGAAAACTCCAAGGACAATCATTAAAATCATAATCAAGACAGAGTTTTCTTATATAAAATAAATAGCAATTATTACAGTTACGCGTATATTATGACTAACAGTTATTATGACTCCATTGCTTTGTTAAACCATTGGAATGTCTTTTTGCAAATATGGAAAACAAATTACTCTCTGTAATACAACTTAAAATATTCACACAAGGGATTTTCTTTTCATCTTGTAGTATTAGGTTAAGACCATGTTGATTCTATTTGGATTTCAACATGCATTCTCTAAGTTTTAAACATATGAAACAAATGACATCAACATACCAAAGGAAATGTATGACAAGCACCAAGCAGAATGTCTTAGCCAGCTTTACACAGATATGTGAGATACTTTCAAATACATCAGAGATGAGTCCATATCTTTTTAAATTACACACTAAATTTATCCTGAATACTAAACTTTTATTGCCTGAGGTAAGGAAGAAACCAATCAAATAGAGCATATCTTTAATATAAAAATGACTGTTTTCCAGTTAAGTTTTGATTGCTAAGTGACAATAGTTAAGACCCAGCAGTAATATAAGATTGTTGAGGCTACCTCTGGCTTCATGTGTTGCCCTCATTTCACTGTCTGTTCTTTCTTCAAAATCTTCTTTACCATCATCAGCATGCTGGTCTCTGAGAAAAGTAATATTTAAATATTCTTATTTAAGAAGCACTAAAAAAACAAAACAAAACAAAACACCCTAAAACCAACAGTTCAAAATTGCTCTCAGCAACTAGCAACTGCTTTTTATTGATTTTAAAACAAATGTACCACTTAAATGTTAGAGAGAGTTGGTAGTTCAACTGAGATGCAATTAATACAAATATCATTCTATATAGGTCCATTTTCCTCATTATCAATTTTCATTTATTGCTTAGAAAGGAGATTTTTAAAGCTACAAATGATATTTAGCTTAACTATTCTGGTAAATGTAGCTATTGAATAATTCAGCTTCAAATTGGGACATTATTAAGAAGGAATTTTACTTGCACTGTCTGCTAAGAGTTTAATTTAAATAAAGAAAATGCTTTCAAAGTCCATACTGTTAATTAGATCACTATATATACTCAGCTTAGGATTTGGGATTGAAGTTGAGATTGGCCCAGAAGATTCCAACTCAATTCTAGCAAGCTCTTCCTGACTGAATCACGTCAACTGCAGAGGTGGAACAGATTCCACTTATTTCTGAACAAGAAAGACCTACTGCAAATCAAAACATGCCAAGATGCTCTAAAATGGAATGAACCATTACAATCTTGAGTTAGAGCACTGCTCTTTAAACAGGGACCCGTTTAGCATGAAAGGGAACCAGGCACATGCTACTTATATTTTCTTTAAAGCTAAAATCAGGGATTTTAAAAATTCAACTAATCTATGTCATTCTCAGAGGTCAAATAAATTCCACTTTGCAATTTCCTGGAACGATCTAAGGTATGATAACCACTTTAAAATATTCTGTATTTATGATGTCTTCTATCATATGTGCTGTTATTTTTACAAATGCATCCTGCATTTTATGGAAGACCTAGGCCATCCTACTAACAGGCCTTAAGAACAGGGCAAATGTATTTGAAATAAAATATAAAAGGAGCTTTGTAGTTTTAATGACAAAGGCACTAAAAGAGAAAGGATGTTCACTACTTCTTAGATCATTTATAGGGACAAATGTAAATTTCATTTGCATATGAATACCCTGGGCTTAGCTCATGTTTGAAACAACACAAGATCAATTCTTATGGAAAGATCACTGTTACTGTACAATAAAAACATTTTTCCAAGAGAAATCAGGTGTTAGATATGGAAGTGCTTACTTCCTAGAAAGTAGGGAAAAGGAGCTATAGTGCAAGCAAATCCAAGAAAATCGCTGATGATTAGGAAAAATCTTAGTTGAAGTGAAAATAGAAAATGTCAGCTTTGTTATAAAGTGCTAAAAATATACTTGACTACTTCACAATGTTACAATCAGTTTACTTAACAAAAATTATATGATACTGTCCTGACTCATCTTCAAATAAATTGGAAATAGTATTCATTGAGCCGCAACTGTATCCCAGTAAGTCTCATGACCAATGGAAGAAAGTCACCTGTCTTGGCTATACTAGTATTTATTAAGAATAATGACAGTACACAGTGACATAAAAAGTGGCATTTTTCCAGTCAAAAAATTTATCAATTAGTTACTGTGATTTCCTAAACTTTTGATTAGTTAAGGGTTGTTTAAAAAAAAAGAGCAGAGACAATCTCAGGCCAGAGGCTAAATCTTAGAGTTTTCTGTATATTTCATTTTTTCACTATTAGAATTGCACACTCATAATCAACAGCTACAATTTTATGGTCTTAATTAAGCATGCTATTCCTTTAAAATAAGTTGGTTTAAAAAATAAGTGAAAGTTTAGGAAGTAAAAAACATTAAGCTGCATGAAAAATACAAATATAAGGCTTATAAGGGTCTTTTTTCTTGTATTTGCCAAATACAATGTCAATTACATTAAAAAAATGCCTAAACAATTAATTTTCTTTTTTCTTAAGATTTATTTATATATGCATAGAAGAACTGGGGTACAGGCCAGAGGTGTGGGGGTTGGTGAGAGGATTCACCAGAGACAGAGTGGGGAGCAGAACAGGTGGACGGGCTAAAACACACTGCTGAGGGGAGCGGCGTGTGAGACAGGAGAGACCCACGCCATGTGGGTCAGATCCTTTGCAGGGATCAAACTCATGCTGCAGTGGCTACAAATAGCTTCAGAGTGCTACGCTTTAACCTAATGCGCCACCAGGGAGGGCCTAAAAAGTTAATTTTCTAAGAGGAAATAGAAATAGAAAAAGAAAATAAAGACTTTGGCCCCCAAAGCTTCTTCATTCCTGAATCTGCCATAATTCATCCCAAAAGAAATTTGGAAGTTATGTGGTCTTACATTATTGATGTTACTTCTTCTAAAAGCATGCTCAGTTTTGGCTTTCCCTATTTTAACTTATGATGGCTCATTAAGTTGAACCCAAATAAGCTTGGGAATATATAAACATCTGTATTTATTTTTAACCAAAGATAATTCAAATAAGAAAACCACAAAAAATGTCTACTGAATGTTTCATGCACTGATTCTGCTAATTCCTTAACACTGAAAGTGGCTAAAAGTCTCCTGAGGTCCTAGAAGCTATTTCCTTAAGCTAAAGAATGTACAGGGGAGTTTATCTGAGCAATCTATTAGAACAGATATTATCAAGTAGATAAACTGAATTTCTGAAATGGACAGACCCCTAGCCAAATACATTCAGAAATGTGGCAGTGGTTAGTAATTTTAAAAGTTAACATTCTTTAGAACATAGTAGGCATCAAAGACTTACTAAGCTCTTTACATATCTAGTTTTTCATAAGAATTGTTAAAAGAAGGCTGCATTATTATGTACATGGTAATTTAAAAGTTAAGCACGGATTTTCAGTATAGCATAAGCTCTCCTGACCAAAACCTGCAACTAGATCAAATACTATAAAATTGAATTCTAGCCTTATGTTTTCCTTAGAATGCAGTGCATATCTTTGTTACAAAGGATGATAGAAGGAGTAGTTTCTCGTGCTATAATCTTATTTTCAAATTCCCTTTTATTGACTAGGTTTCAGAAATAAAGAATATGACTCATTAATATTCTTATTTGTCTTGCATTTTATTTAAGGTAAAAATTGCATTCTTAATGACAACCATATTTCTCTTCCTCCCTGATGGAATTTCACTATCCTAATTCTGATTAAACAGTTATTATAAAGGATTTCTTTCACTACACAAAAATCTTCTTTTAGAATTTCAACGTTCTGAGTTATGCTAGCTACAGTCTTCCAACTACAGACAAAATAGAATGGTATTGGAAAGTCAAAACTATGACAGTATTACAATAGACTCTAGAGCACGAAACAATGCAGATTGGTTGTCTTGGCATATGGTTTAATGGCAGATTTTTTTTTTTAATGATGGAAAAATTTATGCTGTATTTTAATATTACAATGTTACTCTAGAGATAAAAACTCCAGCTTTTTCTCTGGCTCAACAAACTCATTTAGGAAGGAGGGCCAAACTGGTTAGGTGGGCAGGGAGTGAATCAAAATGTAGAGAAAGTCCCCCAGCCAAAGAGGTTGCATGTATGGTCTCTGGAAATGAACAGACTTAGTTCGAATTTCAGCTCTGTTACTCCCAAGTTCTATGTGAATTCTGGCAAGTTACTTAACTTCTCTAATTCTCAGCTGCATTATCTGTAAAACAAGGGTAATAAATCCTTTTCTTCACAGGCATTCTGAGAACTGAACAAAACAATGAATGGAACGTGTTTAAGGGGCCCTCCCTGGTGGTGCAGTGGGTCAAAGCACTTCACTAAGAAGCTTAAGGCACCTCCGCATGAGTTCGATTCCCGCCTGCCCTGGAGGAAATCCACATGGCACGGCATTCCTCTCCTGACCAGCCTGCTGCTCCTCTCAGCAGTGTACTTCATTGATCTGCCTGTTCTGCTCCCCACTCTGTCCCTGGTGAATCCTCTCACTCACCGCATCTCTGGCTTGTACCCCAGCTCTGTATGAGTAAATAAATAAATCTTAAAAAAAAAAAAAAAAAGAACGTGTTTAGCACATAAATAGGCAATTACTATGTTAGAATTATTTATATTTTCAGACAGAATCGTATATGGACACTTGTTTCCCATCTCAGAATGCCTGTGAAGGAAAGTAACTTGTTTTCTTCAAAGTATTAAGACAGCTCTTAGGGCAATGGTTATGTGTATAGATTGTAGACAATGTTACAGCCACATTGCAGACATGTTTAAGTCCAGATCTGTTACTTGCTAGTTATGGTGTCTGAATGAGGAGGTGATAATAATTCCTATCCCACATATGGGGGTAGGAGGCTTAAATGCACTAAGATGACAAAGCACCTAGAAAATATCTAGAAAATGTTAATCTCTTGGTATTTTAGAATTTTCATGAACCAACTGATCTCATTATTTCTTTAGCTTGAGTGGAAATACAATCATAGCTAAAATCTTACTCAGAGATACCCTGAAGACTTTTAATTAAGATAGTGGTATCCACTCAAACGGAAAAGCGTATTCTTTGTGAGTCAGCATTCTCTTTCTCTGTAATTATGTGTCATGTTTTAGCTATCTTACTACCGTTACTCCATGCAATGTGGTATTAATGAAACAAGCATTAGAGGAGTAAGTAGCAACAGAATGGTGTTTGAATGCAAACAGCCATATTTTTTTCAAGTTTGTCGATTTCTCATTTTAAAAACAATCCCTAACCAACCATGTTTCTATCGGTCCTGGTATGTTAAAAACAATATTGAAAAATATAAAAAAATATTTTGCCCCAGTTAAAGAATTTCAGTTTAGGAACTTCTCCAAATCCAGCAGGAGTTTAACTTGGCTTGTAGCTTAAAATTATCCAACTCCTTTTCCAAAATAGCTTATTCTAGTCTCTCTGGAGCTTTACTAGAGTTGAAAAGCACCTGTAATCTCCAGTAATAAGTGGGGCCCCAGTGAATGTGTGACAGCTGTGAAAAAACCACAGGGTTTTTTGTTGTAAACATCAAAAGGATGTTTCTTTGCATGCCCCTAGAATTTTTTGGTTCTTTGTTTTAATTTCTAGGAA